AAGCCTAAGCAGAAATTTCTATCAAACCCTGTGATTTAAGTATATCCATGTACCACTTAATAATTACCAGAAAGAAAAGGAAAATCTACCTATGAAAAATCATAAACTAAAAGAAAGAAAGGAAAATAAAAATAAAAATGCAAATAACAGAAAAAAAAAGAAAAAAATGGAAGAGAACTCCCTGAACTCCCTAAGGAGAATAAACAGCATCAAGTAGCTTGATTTCTTCCTCACTGGTTTAACACTTTCTTCAAGCAAAATGTGGTGCATGCACATGGAAGGGCTGATTTCCACATTATCTGCTAAATTCCATATAATTGCCTTCTTACTTTCTTTCAGCAATGTCAAAAGCTTTTCCTCCTACTCAGGTAGAAGGTTCTTGGCCACTATCACATGTAACTGTTCATTTTCCTCCAGATATGAATACTTCAGATGGTCAGGCAGAACCTTTAGTTCTAACTTAGGTGGCTGCTCAGTGGATGGGAGAAGTCTAGCGGGTGCAAATTCTGCAGAAAACAAGTCAGCAGCTATGCCTGTAAACAAATTCTCAAAAACAGAATTAGGATCATCAAAAATATCAGCAGGCAATTCAGATAAAGCAGATTCGCACTCAGAATCAGATTCATCAATAAGTGCATCGTTAAAACCAGAAAGATGTGATGCTATTTCAGCACACACAATGCACTCTTGACTATCACTACAATCACAGAAATCAGAATCAGCAGATGAAAAATCAGAAAAATCAGCAAGGAATTCAGCAGAAACATCCTCAACAACTTCGTCTATCACATCAATGCAGAAAACAGAATGCTGAGATGTATCAGTGCTCTGCTTCTTGGAGCTAGTGTCACTTCCCTTAGATGACTCAGCAGCAGTGTGGTTTGGCTCCTCCATATGCTTGCCAGACCGCAGAGTAATAACACTCACATTTTCGCTTCCTTTTGGATTTGGAACTGTTTGGGATGGAAGGGAGCTGCCACTTGCTTGTTGATTTTGACTCATTGACGTTGCAAGTTGGCCAATCTGTGTTTGCAGATTCTGGAGGGAAGACTCAGTAATCTGCTGGAACTGCAGATTGTTAGTTGCCATCTGCTTCACTAAATCCTCTAAAGAAGGGCCATTGCTACTAGCTTGCTGCTGCACTGGTGGCTGTGGCATTTGCTGCTGCTGCATTGGCTGTGGAGGTGCAAATTGTTGAAAATTTTGACACGAGCTGTCGAACTCGCGCAAATTAAAAATTATTTTTTATTAGGGTTCAGAAAATTTGTAGTAGAGTGGAAACCCTAAGTCGTCTCTCTCAAGGAAATTGCTTGGGTAAAAATCGTTTATCAAAACAGATTAGGGGTTTTGAATTTTGGTTGAATAATTAAAAGGAAGAATATGAAATTGAATTTAAAATTCGTAATTAAAAATAACCAACCTAAGGTTAGGGTTCCATGGACGTCTTTCCTCGGATAAGAAGATATCAGAATTGTGATTGATTTTTCAATCGAATCAGAATCCTTATTTCCAATTGACAACCCTCACTAAGCGATCGCTTAGCATTTGATCAAAGACGATGCTTCTACTCATACAATCGCAGAGTATCAACCCGCTTGATTTAAGGTCATAGGGTCAATCAACCTAATCATCAAATCTGATGATTAATCCCTTTCCATAATCGCAGTCGCGAACCTCAGATTGAATATCCACGATCGCACGATATCAATCTGAGTTGGGAAGGGAAACGGAACTGATTTAAAAATAAACGCAGACCCTCAAGACTAATCCATGGAGTCCATTACCCTTAGGTTGATTAAAAGGTTCTTAGCCTCGCATGGCTAAGGTAAACATGATTAAAATAAAAAGAAGAAGAAGAAAAAGATGAAGAACGCGAAGAACGCTTCAGAGAAAATACTTTGATCCTCAATTTCGAAAATTACCGAATGAAACAAATGTTTCCTACTCTGCCGTCAAATACCCCTACCCAAAACGGGTTAGGGTTCAGTTCTGATCGGCCCATCTATCTAAAATGCGAAATAAAATAAATAAAATAAAATAAAATAAAACTTGGGTTTGGGACACTTATGTAATTGGGTTTTAAATTACAAGTCTAAACTTCAGCAAAACATGTTCTTCTTGGCGTCAGAAATAGACTATCTTCTAGTCCGAATTGGGCTTCGATCTCTTCATAAGAATTGTATCTCTCTGTGTTATCTGAAAAACCCAACAAGAACGGAGTCAATCCGACAACTGTGGGCCGAGATATGGCCAAAATAAAGAAGTAACGTAAAGCTGAAAAATTCTGACGAAAATAAATTAATCCCAATCAAACACTAAAAATGTAAATTAACTCAAAACATCATTATTTTATTCAAATAAATCCTAAAAATACTAATCAAGAGTAACAAATAAGTGTAGTAAAATACGAGTTATCAATGTTACAAATTCCATAACTAATCAATCTTTTAGTGTCAAGCAAATAAAGCAAAAGTTCAATAGATTACGATCTAAGCATCGTGAGTTCTCTTTATTCTTGCAACACACTGGATTTGGTTGGGATGCAGAAACTAACACTGTTACTGCTAGTGAAGAAGTTTGGCAATCTTATATTCGGGTATATTTAATATTTTTTGTAAGGTTATGGTTTTATATAATTGTTATTATTTTTAAGTATCATTTGACTATAATATGATTTACTTATCTTTTGTCAACATTTTACTATTTTAGGCATATCGAGAGGCTGCTCAATTTCAAAAGAAAGGTTGTGAGCATTACAAGTTATTGGGAATCTTATTTAATAGAAGCACTGCAACTGGAGTACTTCATCATTCATCTACCCAAGACCCACCTAATACAAATGAAGAACTTGAGCTTGAACATCAATATCTTAATAATGATGTTCATGTAGATGTTAATCAAGATAGTTCAGATGATGACTTCCAAACAATTGAGCAAACCACTCTTCGGGGAAAACGCAAAATTCAACCAAGAAAACGTAAGTCTCACAAAGAGACTAAAATATTTCAAATGGCAGACGCACTTCAAGCATGGGCTGAAGCATCTAAAGCAAAAATAGAAGTTTCTTTAGCAAGAGCAGAGAAACTTAGGGCCACTTCTTCAGAGTATTCTATTACAAAGTGTGTGGCTGCCCATGAAGAGATTGAAGACGTTGGAAATGACATCTACATGAAGGCTATGAAAAATTTACGGAGCTTACTTGGAGGGAAATGTTTCTTGCTATGTCTACTGATAGGAGAAAGGCATGACTAGATACAATTGACTGAGAAACTTTAAGTGCATGATTAGACCAGCTTTGCCTTGGCTATATTTTTTGTTTGTGTTTTGCTTAAACTTTACTATGATCAGACCAGCTTTGCCTTGGCTATATTTTTTGTTTTGCTCAAGCTTTGGTCTAATCATTTTTGCTAATGTGTATATAGTTACATGCTAACCTTGCTTTGATCAGGAGGAACAAGGAAAAACCTATGAATGTATACATTTGCTAACCTAATTATGAAAAGAGATAAGTAAATATTACATCGATTAGTACTTGTTTTGTCTGTAATGAAACCTTTTTCTGCTTTATTCTCATCACTGTAGATACACTGAGTTGTTTGATTTTGCACTGTGTTTCCCACAAAAAATAGGGTGTTGAGATACTCATACCATTTAATCTCGTCTTGACTCTACCAACCCCCACGTTAGAGTGCTGCTATCAAGGAAGTTAGTGTTGCTTTATAATTGCATGCTGCTATTGCTTCCATTACTTTTGCTTGCATTGTTAGTACTGAAGGAAGTTAGTGTTGCTTTGTAATTTGGAAATGTGGGAACGTACACAAAGTAGTTTTTGTTTTTTCTCCTTATCTAGTTGGAGTATATTTATCATTTATTCATTTGTTGATGGTTGTTTTATGGTTCTAATCAACAAAAAGGAGCCGTTGTTTATCTATCTAATGCACCTACTACATGCTCTTTGTATTTTCGTTATTGATAATGCTTCATATCATAGCGAAAGACCATGTGGAAGCGTACAATGTTTGCATGGATTTGGTACATTTTGTTGAATCCTAATGCATTATTAACCATGGTCTTCTATTCATAGCAAGTGTAAACTATTTGCTGCAATGTTCTTATATGTTAATCATTGTGGACTTCATCTAATAGTCTGGCTTGGTCTTTCTTTGAGAGCATTCTCTACAATGAAACCTTGCGTTCCATCCATTAAAGAAAAGGAATATTAAAATAAGTTAAAAAAAAGTTAACAATCAAACAAGTTTTTTTATTTTTTGTTTTTAAAACATGTTCTTAGAACAAATTTATCAAGCACATTTTTTTGTTTTTTAAATTTTAAAATTCTTTTCAAAACAAGTTTACCAAACAAATTGTTTTCTTCTTTTATTCTGAAAATCAATTCTCAAAAATTACTCTACAAAACAGTTTTCTAAACAAAAAAATCAAAACACAATCAAACATACCCTTAGTTTTCTTGTTATTTTCTCACTGTTTTATGTTGTTTTTAATTCAAAAAACACACATTTTTGTGACAAGAAAAATCGCGACACATAGCTTAAAAATTATTTTTTAAACTTCCAAAATCTCTAAAAAAATATGCTGCTTTTAAGATAGATTATATTAAAATCTCGTTGCTTTGTTGTTTCTGAGTTGTTTTGTGATGAAAATTACTCAAAAATATGTTATTTTTGAATTTTAACGAAACTCCTATGGTGGAACCTGATTTCGAGCTGATTAACTTGTTAAGAGAAGAAGAAAACACTATAATAAAGAAGTCTCAAGAAATCCTAGCGTTGAGGGTAAAATTATAAGAAAGACATTCTATTTATAGTTTTCACAGTAAAATTTATCTCACGAAATCTACACCAATTGCAAATTTATTAGAATAGTTAGATATTATGAAATAATCTTTTAAAATTCTAATAGAATATTATATTACTTTTTTTTATCTTTTAAAATTCTAATTGAATACAATTTTTTTCCAAAAATAATTCTTAAAATCATAATCCAATTCATCCCCTAATACCTGTGTAGCTAGCCGTCGGACCTCGTCTCCGGAATTTCTTTCTCCTTCGAATCTTCAGACTTGAATCACTCTCACAGTCTCACTCACTCTCTTCATCTGGTAATCTCTTTCTCACTCACTCTCTTCGAATCTTTCTCCTTCTATCACTCTCCTACGATTTTTTTTTCTATTTTTTTTTATGTGACGATGGGAATGCTTGTGACAGTGGCACATCGGTGACGGTGAGAGGGGAAAATGACGGCTCAGCTGGGATATTGCGCTTTGTAGCGGTGGTTTGGTCTTTAGTGTCTCGGTGTGCGCGCGGCCATTTGACCGACGAAGGTAAGTGTCTTTGGAGAACACTGACCAAAATGCCACAGTCGAACTTATTTTCCAATCTGTCACACACACAAGTTTGATACTCAATATAGCGAACTCGGTTTGCTACACCGTGTAACGAACTTTGTATCCACTAGAAACGTGACACGCCAGCAAACCGAGTTCGTTAACTTGACTCCGTGACAGATTGAGAAGTGACAGATCGAGAAATAACACTGTTCGCGTGTCATTTAGGTAAAAAAGTTGATGAAAAGTGGCATTTTGACGAGTGTCCCTGTCTTTGGTGTCTGGAATCATGATTTTCCCCTTTTCTTCATCTTCTTCTTCTTTCTGTATCTGTCGGTGTGATTTTCTTCTCTGTTCTCTGTTTTTCCCCCTTATCGGTTCGGTGGGATGAGTAAGGTGTTGGTTCCATTATCATTATGCCAGATTCTGATTTTTATTAAGTTCTAATTTTCTATAGGTTGAAGTTTTTACTTCGGATTCATGCTTGCTGCATTGGAAATAATTTATCTTTTAAGCGTGTGTGTTGTATTTGTTTTGGGCTCATTATACAGAAAGCATGACTACATACATGTTGTAAGCAAGAGAAGATAGAATCATGCACGGTCGAACTTGCTGACCATCTAGGGTTTGCTGATGTTTCAGATTTAAAGGTTCTACCTAGTCTTCCCATCACTGTTACCTAAGCTAAACACCCTCAAGCAAAATAAATAAATAAATAAATAAAAATGCAAGTCACCTAATGATGTATATCCATGTGCCTGCAATATAAGCTAATTGATAAACATGCTTGCAATCTAATGATGATAATTCACTATTTATTATGGTGAGAAGAGCAGTGTGATCCTATCTGGCATCTGGGAATTTTTATGATCCCGCCAACCCACGTTTTGCGGTTGCTTTTACTTCATTTCCTTATCCACATTCACAGCACAAAATTGTCTTGTGATCCTTATTATTATTACTTTGTTATTTGTTTGTTTGTGTTATGCTATTAACGAAGTTTTGCAAAGAAAGACAAGTTTACCATTTTGTGTTGTGAGTTTGGATAAGGAAACACAGTAACAGCAACAGCAAAATCTCGGGCTGAGTCGCGCCCACTTTTAGGTGCGACCAAGCCACCTAACACATCTAGTTTTGGGCGCGACCAGTCCCGCCTTATTTTAGATGTGACTTCTTGCTATAGATTTGTAAATAAGTTCTAAAATGCAATGTTTTCATACTTTTTTATTAAAAAAATAATATTTAAATAATATCTAAAATGCCACTTTCTTCAATATTATGGTGTTTTAGCTTATACCATAAAAGGGATTCGATTATGAGAGTAGTTTTCTGTGGGGGATGAAGTAAAGTGATGATGCTGTTTGGTGAATTCGATTTTTGTATTTTGTTCAATGGTTGACATGACAGGAAAGGGAAGAAGGGGAAAAAAAAAGAATGTTTAGCATCATGTTTTGACCTTGTCAATTTTTTTTTGTCTGAACCCTCCAATTTCCAGAAGCCACGGTGGGACCCACAAGGAAGGGTTCCCTCAGCTTCTTCTTTTTTTTTGAAGACCTTGCTTTAGGAGAATTGAACTTCTTGCCATTCAGATCATGAAGCATTGATACAAGAATGATTTATTTTTTAGCAAATGAAAGCAGAAAGGGAGAAGTTATTGCTGAACAAGAAGATGAAAAGTTGTATTGAGCAAGGTTTTTATATTATTTTAGTTATAAATTATAATATGCTCGGGGTGTGTGTGTGTTTTGGGTCTTTATGCCAGATCACTTAGCCTTAGCCTATATAACGCAAAGGGGTTAGAAAACATATTAGAATTTAATGGAAATAAGTTGAAATAACACACTAGCAGTGGAATGATACTTTCTTTGCACTGTCTGGCATGGTAACAGATATTTTGGGCATGCCTTTTTTGATCCAACTTGCCATAGCATCAGTGATTGCTCTTATTCGAAACTCTCTATTTCCTGAGTGGATCATCCTGGTAGTGCATGACTTGGAGTTTAACCTCTAGATATCATGTGTAAGATTGGAGTCCATGCTTAGGTCATCTTAGTACAAACCTGCTGAAAGTGTTTTCGGGAATTTGTTTGAACATTTCAGAATATGATATAGTAGAAATTAGGCTATTTAGGCATTGGCATCAATACTTAGGGTCATTTTTCTGGAATCTTGTAATAGTCTATAGGCTATAATAGTCTTTCTTCAATATTAAACTTTCATATAAAAATAAGAATATAATTATTCAGATATCCAATCACACAGGGATTTAATTTCTTGTGAAAAAAATGATAAACACACAACTCTTAAATAAATAAAAATATGTAAAACACATTAAGTTATTACTTAGCTTTGTGAATTTTAGGGGGGGAAAACTATTAATGCAATTCCTTATAATCTCATATAATTAAAATTATTGATAAAAATGTGTGTGTTATGTGATAAATTCAAATTGTTTGATTTTTGCATATGCAAAAAGTTTCATCCTTGCATCAAACTTTCTCACTTAAATATTGAACCTTTAATTGAGCTTAATGATGCTTTAACTCTGAAACTTTCGGATTTCAATTGCAAAGTCCATTGAGGTCAACAAATTAATCTCAGATGCCATAGCTCCATCAATAAAAAATGTATATTAATTATTATCTATTTCCATTTTGAGCAAGCATAATAAGTTTTTATATATATAGAATTGAAAGAAATATTTGTGTATTATAAAACTATATATTATTTGTACAAGAGTTCTCTATTTAAAGAGAATAAAAAACCTAATGGGCTAAGCCCAAATACTAACTATTACAAAATAATAATTCTAGTATTTACAATACTCCCCCTCAAGCTGAGGAATGGATATTTATCATTCTCTGCTTGCTAGTAAGCTCTTGAAATCTATCATTAGGAAGACCCTTAGTCAAGACATAAGCCGATTGACCATTAGACGAAATATATGGAGTAGTGATTAGTTTGCTATCTAGTTTCTCCTTGATGAAGTGGCGATCAATCTCAATATGTTTGGTGTGGTCATGTTGGACTGGATTGTGGGCTATACAGATAGCTGATTTGTTATCACAGAGTAACTTCATAGACCCTTCACATCTCACGTTTAGATCATCTTCAGCCATAATCAATCACAGATACATTGAGCCATGGCTCAGAATTCTGCTTCTACACTCGACCTAGCAACCACATTTTGCTTTTTACTTCTCCATGTTATGAGATTTCCACAGAGAAACATACAATAGCCTGAGGTAGACCGTCGGTCAGTCACGGATCCAGCATAATCTGCGTCTGTATACACTTCTAAGGATAAGTTTTCTCCTCTCTGGAATAATAGTCCTCTGCCTGGTGTGCCTTTTAGATATTGGAGAATCCTATCCACAGCCTGCAGATGTTTTTCCCTCGGATCATGCATGAATTGACTAACAATACTAATTGCATAAGCTAGATCAGGTCTAGTGTGAGCCAGGTATATCAATCTTCCCACTGTACGTTGATACTGTCATTTGTCAACTGGAGGACTCTCATTCTCACTTTCTAGTTTGTGATTGTGCTCAATTGGAGTATTGGAAGGTTTACATCCAAGTTTTCCTGCTTCCTTAAGGAGATCAAGAACATACTTCCTTTGACAAATAAAAATCCCTTGCTTTGAGTGAACAACTTCTATCCCAAGAAAATATCTCAGTTATCCAAGGTCTTTAACTTCAAATTCAGCAGTCAATCTTTCTTGCAGAGCATGCTTCTCATCTATATCATCCCCTGTTATAATAATGTCATCAACGTAAACAAGAAAGATAGTGAGCTTACCTTCTTGAGAATGTTTAAAGAAAAGTATATGATCTCCTTGACTTTGTCTGTACCCCAATGAAAGTATAACTTTTGTAAATCTTCTAAACCAAGCACGCGGGGATTGGTTCAAGTCATACAATGCCTTCTTTGACCTGCAAACTTTGGTTTCTCCATTTGTGGAGTTAAATCCTGGTGGAATCTCCATGTAAATCTCTTCTTTTAATTCGCCATTGAGGAAGGTATTTTTCACATCACATTGTCTCAAATCCCGATTAGAATCAGCAACAAGGGATAATAGAACTCTTACAGTGTTCATTTTGGCCACTGAAGCAAATGTTTCTTCGTAATCAATGCCATAGGTCTATGTATACCCCTTGGCAACCAGTCGAGCTTTATACCTTTCAAGAGTCCCATCAGAATTATATTTCGGAGTATACAACCATTTGCATCCTACTGCCCTTTTGCCATTTAGCCTGTCAACGACTTCCCATGTATTATTCTTCTCCAATGCATTCATCTCATCATTCATAGCTTGAACTCTATTGTCATCCTTTAATGCTTCATGTACTGATTTCAGGATTGAAATGGAGTCAAATGTTGTAATAAAGCTCCTATGCTGCATAGAGAGATTCTTAGAGTAAACAAAATGAGAGATAGAGTTTTGGGTACAAGACCTTTTCCCTTTTCTTACAACAATGGGTAAGTCAACAGAATTATTATCAAGCTCAGGAACAAAAGTAGTGTATTCAGTACTTACCAGCGGTTCAGGTGACTGCAGTTGCTGTTGGGGCAGTGTGGGTTGTTTCTTTGGTAAAATAGTTCAAGTGTTCCAGCTTTGCGTACTTTCTGTCGATCAATTGGAGGCATGTCACAAGAGGAATCAGATGAACTTTCAGCCTCATCAACTAAGTCTTCCTTCTCAGTGTCATATGGTGTAATCACTGGGGTAGGAGATGATGTAGGTAATGGAAGGGGAGACTCAGACTCAAAGAAAATGGAAAGAGCTTCAATATTATTCTCCCCCTGAAGCTAAGGAGGTAGAAAATATGACTCAGATTTATGGAAGCTAACATCCATAGATACAAAAAATTTACGACTCGGAGGATGATAACATTTGTATGCTTTCTTGTTGGGAGCTTAACCAAGGAAGACACACTTAAGGGCTCAAGGCTCTAATTTACCCCGATGCTGTTTATGGACATTGACAAAGACAATGCATTCAAAGACACGAGACTGGGGACTCTGCATAATTGGAACAGAAGGAAAAAAGGAGGTCATAAGATCAACAGGACTTACATGGCCAAGGATTTTGGAAGGTAAGTGATTGATCAAATAGGCTGCAGTTAATATAGCTTCTCCCAAGTAAGAGTTGGGAACAGATGTCTGACACAATAATGCTCTGGTGACTTCAAGCAAATGTCTATTTTTCCGTTCAGCAACCCCATTTTGTTGAGGGGTATCCACGCTTGTGAGTTCATGAACCATTCCTTTGTCTTTAATAAACTGAGAAAGATGTTGATTAACATATTTTGTACCATTATCTGATCTCAAGCGTTTGATACGTTTACCAAACTGAGTTTCAATCATATAATAAAACTGGATAAACAACAGTGTTACTTCTGTCTTATCTTTCATAAAGAAGATCCATGTAGTCCGAGTATAATCATCAATAAAAGAAACAAACCACTTAGCACCATAAACATTAGGTACCTTGGAAGGTCCCCAAACATCAGTATGAATAATGGTAAAAGATTCAACACTTTTTATTTCACTAGAAGAAAAGGATACACGATGATGTTTTGCAAATTGACAGACATCACTTAAAAGACTCAACAGACTGCGACACAAACAAAGACGGAAACATAGACTTAAGTAAACTAAAAGAAGGATGACCCAAGCGCTTGTGATGAAGCCAAATAAGAGAATATGATGCAGCAAAATCTGGAACCAGATAATACAACCCACCCTGTTCCTTAGCAACTCCAATCGTCTTTCCCGTGGCAAGATCCTGAAAAACACAATGAGTAGGGAAAAAGGATACAGTGCAATTCAAATCTGTAGTAAGCTTATGAGTAGAAAGGAGATTGGTAGATAGGCAGGGAACATGGAGAGCATTCTTGAGACACAAGGAGGGTTGGATTTTAATATTGCCAGAACCTGCAACTTATGTGTGTGATCCATCAGCTACGGCTATATCACGGAGACCAATAGTAGGATTATAAGACAGAAAAAGATCATTGCAGCAAGTCATATGATCAGTAGCACCAGAATCCACAATCCATGAAGTTTTGAAATCAATACAAGAAGCGATAAAAGAATGAGTGCATGAGTTCTTACCAGTCATAGCCAAAGTACCACTACCAGAAGGTTATTTAAGAGAGTTATATATGGACCTAAGCCGTTCCAATTCCTCGCGACGAACAGTAGTAAACTCACCAGGCATCTGAGTCTCATTCACAGGAGGAATGTCTGAAGGAGTCAAGAAAGATTGACCACGTCTAAAATCCTCACGTGAGGGGGGCTTACCAAGCTTTTCTAAAACCTGCTGCTTCCCATGAAGACGGTAGCCAACATCTTTTGTGTGACCTGGTCTTTTACAATAATTGAACCAATGCGCCCCTCTTTGTTGGGCTTAAAGGAAGAAGTCCCCTTAGGTGACTTAGTTGAGATCATAGCAGACTCGTCAGAACTAGATGAAGTAGTGACTTTAGATGAGATCATGACAGATCCTTCAGACAACTTGGTATCCATCATGACATTTCTACGATTTTCTTCACCCCTAACAGTATGAAAAACTTCATAAAGAGAAGGTAATTTTTCCTTACCAAGGATTTGAACCCGAATAGGGTCATATTCTAAATTGAGGCCACAAAGAAAGTCAAAGATCCGATTTCGTTCAACAGAGAAAGCCAAAGTGGCTGCATCCTTGCTGCACTCCATCTTCAAACTCTGATACTTATCTAGCTCAGTCCATAATCCATTCAGATTTCTATAATACTCTGTTACAGATAAAGAGCCCTGCTTGGTAGAAAAAATCTTATTCCTCATATCATAGCAGGTGGCATTCATTGAATAGGTCTGATGAAGAACATTCCAGATCTCGAGCAGTTGGTAAGAACATGCAATGTTGATTAACCTCAGGAGTCACAGAGTTCCATAGCCACGTCATAATAAGAGAGTCTTCATCATCCCAATCAGCAAATTTTGGATATGTTTTGGCAGTAACAGGTCCTTCAAGATGAGCAATCGTACGATGCACTTTGAGAATTGTACGAACCAGCTGAGACCACTGCAAATAATTTTTTCCATTAAGACGATAATTCTGATGGAGAGCAGGCAGATCATTTGGACTAAGAGAAGCCATAGAGGGTGTAACAGGTGGCTCATTGATCAGATTATCTTCAACGTCAGACATAAAATTTGCTAAAAAACTGACTGATTAGAACGATAAAGGTCCAATTCGCTGGAATAGTAACCAGGAGGCCAAAACAGTAACAAAGAGAAGAAGAAACGCCGTGGGAAGGCTGCAACGGAGTCAAAAGCCCAAGATAATCACAGATCCACACTCAGAAAGAGGAGGCGAGCTGGTCTGTACTGGCCGCGCGAAGGGGGTGTCCCACGCGCCTCCACGCGCCACTGCAGCTCCGGGAACAGCATGTCTCTTCCACGCGCGTGAGGGAGCGTCGGACTGGATCTCGAGGTGGGTCCTGGACAGAGGAGGTCGCCTCGTCGTGGCGATCACAGCTGTGGGTGGATCGCCGGAAAACTCACCGGAGACGGTGGTCAACGGCGGAATTTCAACGATAACAATGATCGGAGCGTCAAACGGTGATCCTCTCAGTCCAAAAGGTCTCCGGAAATATTTTCCGATGGTGGCTAATGGCGGCGAGAGGCGAAATATAAGGATTCCTCTTTTAAAGACGATAGATGCGGAAGCAGAGCCCTCAGAATCGAGAGCTCTGATACCAAATTGAAAGAAATATTTGTGTATTATAAAACTGTATATTATCTGTACATGTGTTCTCTATTTAAAGAGAATAAAAAACCTAATGGGCTAACCCCAAATACTAACTATTACAAAATAATAATTCTAGTATTTACTATATATAGTTTGAAGGCTATTTGTATTAAGTCAACTTCTGATATGTATTTTTGTTCGGACTTCTAAACCTTTTTCCATTTGATAAGTGAATGATTTATTTCGGTAGGTTTATTGTTCCTTCAAAATATTTCCTTAACAAAAAGAAAAAGAGCACAGATATGAATATCTATGATTCTATCTCATCTATGCCTTTTGTATGGCAATTTATTTATTTAAAACTTTAATAATATCCTTAAGGTTTGCTTTAGAATCAAAAATAATATCGAGATTTTTTTACTTTATACTACCCCTATGATAGAAAAGACTGATATATCTTCTTAACACCGTTAATACTGTTAACATCAATAATAGCGGAATTCTTTTGATGAAATTTTAACAAGTAAAAAATTCCATCTAGTCTAACATAAAACTAAATCTTATTAAGTCTTAACCGCTCCAGCACTTGAAACCATGAGGCAAACCACACAAAATTTAATGATGCTTAAATTGTTGTAAAGTTGAAGTTAACAATTAAGCTACACATCATGGTTATAATTAGAGGAAATAAATTGTTGATATCATATGATAATTGTCCTTATTTAAGTATTTCATTATGATTCTTAGGATAATAAAGAGTAATGGTCTAAGCATTTTGGTTTCCATATATTAGTCCAAAAACCTTGCAGTCAAGTCCAATATTAGTAATATAAATTTTAAAATACTTATATCCATGCTAATGTGCAAGTTGCTTTGCAAATTAACTAATACAATAAAATGAGACAAGAGAGCTCTTATACTCTATAGGGTCTAATCTTGTTCCAACTAATATATTGATTCTGAAGAAATTCGGCCCACTGTAAATTGATCAGAATTGAACCCCTTACTTATGTGATTTTGCTGACTCCTGACCCCTCCTGCAGAGATCTGTCACAAAACAAGAGAGTAACCAATGCTGGGATTTTCGTATGGAGAAGTATTTCTATTGCTTGGAGCCACTGCTGCTTTGCTTGGTTGGTTCAAGCTGCTCTTACTTCTGTTTATATGATGGAAAATTTAATAGTGGAAACATGAATTGTTAATCTGGTAAATGGATGTGTAATAGGTCGAAAGGAGATGCTAATCGTAGCCAAACCAGCAGGGGTGCTGGTTGGTCGAGCTATTCAAACAGTAAAACTGGCTCGTGGTCAATTCGATACTGTTATGCAGCAATCTCAAGTTTTCGAGGTACTATCTTTTCTCCAATCAGAGTTAAGACTCACAAGGATTAATTTCATTAGGTTTTAATAGACTGAGTTGTCATGACATTTATTGCAAATGTGTTACATTTTGTTTCTAGGAAAAAAATGGGACAATCAAACCAAGAAGGAAAGGACCTGCTTGTTAACTGTTTTGTAAAACAGTTTTTTGTTTTTAAAAACAAAAAAATAAAAGAACTTGATTGAAGAGACTGTTTTCACTCATCGTGTTTTAAAAACCGTTTTTGTTTTTTGGTTTTAGAAACAGAAAAAGCAAAACAACTCCAGGGTGTTTTCCAAGGTTGTTTTCTGGTTTTTTGTAAAGTGCGGTGGCATTTTCGTAAATAAAGAGATTCATTAATGGCATTTTCGTAATTAGATCGATTTTTATTTTATTTTACATTATTTTGTGGTGGCAATTTTGTAAATACGATGATTCATTAATGGCATTTTTGTAAATAACTACATCTTTCTTATAACTTTAAAACTAACCATATTCAAACAAGTTTTATTGTTTTTTTACTCTCAAAATCAGTTTTCAAACTTCATTCTCAAAACAGGTTTTAAAAACAAAAAAACAAAAACACATTCAAACACACCCAAAATAATTGCATAAAAACAATCCTGGAATTTCCAAATGAAGAAATGGAGGTTCTGGTTTTAATTTGAAAAAAGATGATGACAATTTGGCATACTAGAATCTCAATTACATGCGATTCAATTTGAATGTTTGAGACAATAATATCAAACGAGATTATAAAAGTTAGGGAGCTATTTATATTCCATCAAGGATTTCTATCCAGTATAAAAAACTAGATGCTATTTTGTTCACCTGTTTTGTCTTTTAGGTTCATAAGGAACTACAGGACACAATGGCTCAGCTAGATGCTATTCATCATGAAATTCGAAGTATATCAATCATAAATCCTAGGCCCATGACCCGGATGCTTGTGGATAATGTTGACCAAACATCTATATCAAATGGTATTATTTACAGGATTTTTTTTTGGTACGCAGTTTAGTATTTTAAATTTTTACTGATAAAGTTGCTTGGATTTTGTATAATCATGTTCTCTTCTGTTGTTGATAATATAGTCAATAGTAAACCAGAAGATGTTGGAGATAATAACTCGATCCCCACAGTTACCAAGGTTTATTGACCACACCCACAATTTTGACATAATTATATACTGCTTTAGGAACTGTGCGCTTAAATGTATATAATTATTTCCAGAGTTCAACTTCACTGACCTCCAATTCATGCAATATGCAAAGGCAAGCAACTACTTATGCCAGATTGGCTGAGTCCCCTGCCATGAAGAAAGGTTTCTTGGCAAGTAGAACCGATGTCGAGAAGATGAATGATGAACAAAAGCTTACTGTCTTACCAATTTCCGCTGAAGACACTGGATTTTTATTAAATCGTGGGGGTAATGATAATTTGTGTTATTTAGTTGGCTTTCCTTACCATGATTATCTAATACCTGTGTTGCAAACTTATGCTATGGGGCTTTTTACTTGACTTCTTTATATTTACATAATATATTGTGGTCATATATTGTATTTTGCTTCCTTTTATGTATATTGTGCACAAGCATATGTACTGTCACTAAAAGATGTAGCTTTTTGTTACTTCCATTCCATCACACACTCATAGACAAATGCTTTCAGATGTTATTTTCTTAATCTGTATAATTGTTTCATTTGGATTACTTGGTTAGCCAGAAGGCCCGAAAGTAAAGATTGTTGCTTGAACTTCATCCGTTATTTATTTTGTATTCCATTTGTTATGCACAAGGATATTACGAAAATTGTTTTTTATTTCATTGTGAAAAGCATAAATTCCTTCTTTTCGTTCTTTCTATAGGAATGCATGGTAGCTTTTTGTCTTGTTTGTCTGTGATTGAGTGACCAGACATAGCTGTAATACATATTATTGATTGGCTTTGGTTTGTTCTAGTATGATACCTGATTTGAAACTGCTTTGGTTGTTTTGGAAGCTGATGTGAAAGGATCTGACATAGTTCTAGAAGCAATTTTGGAGGCAGAGGTCGCTCATAATGCAAAGGAATTCTTTTCACAGCCCCAAAATCAAATATGAGTGATATGTTAATCCTACATAATACCTTAATTTTCTAGATGTTAAACGTACTTAATTTGTAGCATCTGTAAACACAAAATAATACATATTTTATATCAAAGGTATTGGTTCATGAATTTTCTTTTCTTTAAGTTACTAGTTGTTCGGGCTAAAGAATTTGAAGGAATCTTTGTCTTAGGATGTAGTTGATTTTTCTGATGTTAACTGTTTGCTCTTTCAACCCTCCCCCACTTTCCCCACTAAAAGCAAAAGATAAAGCCTAAAGCTAGTCTCCTTGTCGAGGTTATGACAAAGTAGTTCTATAGAATGGATTGAGCTTCTATAAAATATATTCAGAGGATGTGTATTTTTACTTTAATTGATAATTGTCAAGAAACAACTCACGTGAAAAACAATAGGTAATAGGTAAAGGGTTATGAATTTTTTTTTTTTTATTATAATGGTTTTATATCAAACGATAGCAATTTAGGGTTTAAAAATTAAAAGAAATAAACGTACCACTGTATCTAATTTCAATATCGGCCCTGACACTGGTTTTCTACTGTTTTGATTATTTGAAATATGTTGAACCGGATTATGACAAGATGAAGCGATACTTGATTACATGGGTGTAAATGGATTAGGTCGGTCTACAGGGATTTACGATCTCGTCTATAGTAGGTCTAGAATAGACATGGACTTATTAAAAAGCCTATTTAGCAAACATGTTATAGGCTTTTCTTACTTTCGGGCCTACAAGTCTACAGATCAGTCTATATCATATTATTTATTTAAAATAAAATTATTATTTTAATAATTTGAAATAATAAAGTAATATTATTTTAGTTATTCTTTTAATTGTTAATATTTAATAGGTTTAAACAGGCATAGGTCAAGCTTTTATTTTTTAAATATAAATCAGATTAGATTTATAAGTTAGGGTCAAAGCTTTTATTTTTTAAATATAGGTCACATCAAACTTATAATTTAAGGCCTACACAGACTAACAGGTTAGGTCAGACCAAATATTTTTATATAGACCTGACCTATTTAAGTTAAAGCCTAGCCTAATATACCCCAGAACAATACATTTTTATTATCACGAGATATATTGACAGCTGTGGATCATTTGGTTGGAATGAAATATGGAATGGGTACACTGGACGACATGAATCATTTAAAAAATAAACGTATTCGTTCTGTAGCAGATTTATTACAAGACTAATTTGGATTAACTTTAGTTCGTTTAGAAAATATGGTTTGAGGGACGATACGTGGAGCAATTAGACATAAATTGATACGGACTCCTCATAATTTGGTGACTTCAACTCTATTAACAACCACTTATGAATTTTTTTTGGATTACATCCATTATTTCAAGTTTTGGATCGATTGATGTTGAATTCATCGGTGGGTGATCAGCTATAGGGAGATGATCACAGGTGATGACGGATCTCTACATACAAATATGCCAAGGCTTCGAAGCCATGAGATGGTGGTGTCTACGTAGTGCATATGACTTATAGAGATTAGAATTTCCAAGTTGTGTACCAGAAGTGCGGAGAGATTATCATAGTGTTTGACTTGGGGTGAAAGTCTTCCCCTTATGTCTTGGGCCTATCATGAGTACTAGAAGGATTTCAACTTTTTTTAGAAGTCCTATCCGTTTGGCATTTGGGCAAGGTAGAGAGATCTGGGCAAGGAGGTCATTTATTGTGGGCCTGGATTTCATAGTCCTTGACTAAAAGTGGAAAGAAAAAAAGAGTGAGATAGAATTTGAATAAAGAGTAATTACCATTTTTAGTCCCTTGCAATATTCACGAAACCCTTTTCAGTCCCTAGCAATAAAAAAAGGACAAACTGGTCCCTGAAATAACAAAAAAGAGGACACGTTCATCTTTCCGTTAACTCCTACCTAACGGACCAACTAATGGTGCACAGTTGGCACGTTAGTTTGCTGACTCGGCTTGGATGTGGGACACCGTGAAAGACGAGACGACGACGTTTTGGTCCCTGTCAAAACCACGAGGGCCATTTTGGTCCCTGTCAAAATGCACGAGGACATTTTTAGTCCTTGACAAAAAGCACGGGGCCCTTATTAGTCCCTAACCAGAGAAAAATAGGCACATGACTTCAATGCTTTTCTATGCAGTCCAATTTTGCAAAACAGAAGTGTGTAAGAACCCGCACCGTTAATTAAGGAATTTAATTAATAAATTATGAGAAAATAGGAAATGATTCCATAATTGATCCTAATAATTATTATGAGGCTTTAATAATTATAGTAAGTGAGTAATAATGCTGAAAGTCGCTTTTCGGAAGAAAAGTACAGATACCGGTTCTGCTAGTCGGTATAAATGCGTACCGAAAAAGTATCCCGAAAAATTATAATAAGTGCATGATAATTACTAGAATAATATGTAGGACTTGTAAAACGAGTTTCAAGTCCAAATAATGAGAACTGGTGCTAGAAATCGGTACTGGCTTTGAAAAGCGCGTACCGGAAATGTGCTCAGAAAATTATAAGAAAAATATGATAATTCTTGAAAAAATGTGTAGTTTCAGATTCCAAAGTTTGGGATTAAAATGCTAAGCGTAGCAATTAAATTTAATACTGTGTGTTTAATTGTTAAACCACTATATATAGCCTTATGATTGGCACATAACCCTAGGACCTCAGTTTTTGTGCGTGAGAGTGGCTGACCTGAACCTTGAAACACTGTTCCATAGGCTTCTCTTCTCCTTTCTTGAGGCTTGAAGCCATTTTCTTCACACTTTCTTCTTGTAGACACCTTGAGTGAGTGTGAAACACTATGGTGAGTGTGTTGGGAATATCATTCTGAGTTTTTACCTCTGTTGGAGGGTCCTTGTTTGCTGACTTTGGGGGTTGAGAGTGTTGAGCCATTGTGGTGGCATTTTGGAGCTCAAAGGAGCTTCCTTGTGGTGTAAAAGAACCACCTTTGTGCACTATTTTCGTATACAGTGAGAGACAGAACCTTGGAGCTGTTGTGTAAGCTCCAAGAGCACCCTTTTTCTTAGTTTGAGCTTGGTAAGCTTCACCACCTTTGATCTTGAGTTTTTGAACTTAAAAATGGAACCTTGATGCATGTAAAGGTTAAAAGATGATAACTTAATGTTGGGGTTGGTCAAACACACCTAGAAATGCATGTTTAGGTGTTTAAAATCGGTAAAAACCTAACCTTGGAAGGATATCTTCACGAAATGCAGTTTCTGCATTCTGTCGTGAAATATCCGGATATCTGCCCGAAAAATATCCGGATATGGGATTTGGACATCCGGATATTAGATATCCGGATATGGGATTCTGGATATTCGGATATTGCATATCCGGATATTCCCAGTCAGATATCTGGATATTGCATATCCGGATATGGTCCCGAGAAATATCCGGATATTCTGGGATTTCGTAGAACAGTAGTTGTGCTGTGTGTACAGTAGGCTATTGGGGGTTTGTGGACCTTAGATTGATGAAGTTGAACTTCTGTAATTAATGAACTAGGTCAGAATCGTTGTGATTAAGGACTTATGGCTTGGTATGGAGTCTTAAGACGTAAAACGTAAGGAAAGGTGTTGTCTTTAAGTTATATGCTTGTGTTGCATTATTATTGATATAGTATTGGTCTATAACAGATTGTGAGTCTGCTGTGTTCGGACTTTGAGCTGTGGACTCTTGGCCTTGGGTGTTAGCTTGCAAGGTAAGCTTTCGTGTCCTCGGTTTAGCCATGTTGTGGTTCCACCATGTCCCATGGGGGTATGGTTATATGCATGATGTGTTACATGCTTTGGATATTTGAAATGCTCTTGAGCTTTTTGTGTAATGGCTTTTAATATGCATGTGTTGTTTCATCTTGACGGTAAGCCTGAGTATGTGGCGTCATACGATATGGTGATCCGGGGTGAATGCAAGTAGCGTCTTGCACTAGTGTGGGTATTTGGCGTATGTAAATCCTGCATTTCTCTGGCCAGTAGAATAGAATTGACACACATGACATGATTATCTGCTGCATTGCACTATTTTGGAACTGATGATGATATCTGCTTTTAAACTTATATTGCACATGTAAGTGAGCTTGGGGTGGAAGATCTTTGAGGACCCCTTGTCTTACTGAGATTTCTTGTTTAGAGATCTCACCCCACGTTTGGGGAATGCTTATTTCAGGTTCAGGTAGTATGGTGACTGATGCCTCTGGCGGCAGGAGGCCAGAGCTTAGTTGATGATATTATGATGTTTTGCTGCCATGACTGAATATGGATGCTATTTATGGTTTCCGTTATTTATGATTATGTGGTTGTTGAGACTGATGTTGGGCGTGTTGCCTTATTTGACTGAGCATGGGGATTGTCCATGACACTTTATGTTAGTGCTTTAGTTTGGAGTTGTATAAATTGTTAGATGGTCCGGTCTACGTTGTTGTAGTTCCGTGACTAGAGCCACACTTTTATTATCTATGTTATGAGGTATATTCAGATAGCTGTTTTATTGCAATTACATACAAGCGTTATTTTATTAATTGATTAATAAGCAAGTTGGTAATGATAATGACATCATAATTGAAAAGAAAAAGATATTCCGCATTTTTATTAAGCGCTGCTTAATACGATAGTATGATAACATTGCCGGATATATACGGGGTGTTACAAAGTGCATTACATCAGAAACAGGAGTGCAATCCAATTTTGCAAAACAGGAACATGACATTAAATTGGATTTGTATGCAGTCCAATTTGTTAAACCAGAAGACATGGATGTACAAGAACTACAACTACGTATATTAGTTAAAAAACATAAAAAATGGTAAACTTAAACATTCATCAACCCTGTGAAACATAATAGCTGGAACATGATTTGAGTATCATTACATTTGAAGACATGGATGTACAGTTGTGCATTACAAAATAAAGCCAACTGCCAGGAATTAAAAGAAAGACCTCTAATACAATATGACCAGAATTTACAAAAAAAAACATTGACATAATAAGGCCTCCAAATACATAATGGCTAGAATTTTCAAAAAAAGTCAATCACATAATATAAACCCTTCTCAGTTGGCTCATGCACTACTCTCAGGTCATATATAGTAGCAGGTCATTTTCTTGAGGCAGGCTTTGGTGGCCTAAAACTAGGTGTGCTCATGAAGGCCAATAATCTGCTTCGAGTGCCACTGGTTGCTGCATTCATTGTTTCATTACTCAACAACTCATTTGCCTGTTGTGGCTTTGATGGAGGTGGGCTGCTTCCTCTCAAGTTGCCTTCATGTGGCTGAGAACTACCAACTGTTGCAGTCCAGTCAACTGCCATGCATTGCAATTATCCACAATCATTTACCTGGCTTCTTCTCTGATTTTTCTCTGTATTTAAATATCAACAATCATGCAATTATCTTTTATAGAAAAATAAATAGTATAATTGTAATGCTACACTACTGAAGATATTGTTCATAAATCGCTATGTCTTATACAGACTAAGAGAATTAAAGCAGTTCATAGTATTCTAGGGATCGTAAAAGCTGTTTGCAAGAGCCAAGAATCTCTTTTAACAAAGTGGGAAGCTTAATTAGCATTGAAAAAGAAATGAATAATCGTTAATAAGGTCGAAACTTCAGTTAGAAACACAAACTTCATGGAAATAAAATGCCAAGAAGGAGTATTTTACTTTGTGATGAAATTTAGTTTAATTACTTTGTGATGAACAAATGGATTGCACTCCTGTTTCTGATGTAATGCACTTCTGTTTTGCAAAATTGGACTGCATAGAAAAACAATGAAGTCATGTGCCTATTTTTCTCTGGTTAGGGACCAATAAGGGCCCCGTGCTTTTTGTCAGGGACTAAAAACGTCCTCATGCATTTTGACAGGGACCAAAATGGCCCTCGTGATTTTGACAGGGACCAAAACGTCGTCGTCTGGATATCCGGATATCCCAAAACCACATATCCGGATATCCAATATCCGGATATCTGTTCGACAAATATCCAGATATTTCACGACAGAATGCAGTTTATGTATTTTCGTGAAGATATCCCTTAAAGGCTCCCTTTTTACCGATTTTAAACACCTAATCATGCATTTCTAGGCGTGTTCAACATTACCCAGCAACAAGTTATCATCTTTTAGTCATTAGATACATCAAGGTACCATTTTTAAGCCTTCAAACTCAAGTTAAAGGTTGGTACAACATACCAAGGTTCAAAACTCAGAATGGAGATGCTCTTGGAGCTCAACACAGCCCCTCAAGTCTGACTCAAGGAAGATGCACGAAAATGGCTTCACAAAGGTTGGTTCTTTAACACAAAGGTCACCACTTGGACCTCCAAAAACCAAAACCAAGCTTCCCTCAACCCAAAACCAACAAGTCAGCAATCAAACCTCCCTCACACAGACTTCACAACTTAGAAACAACACCACAAACCCCTTCCCAAAGGTGACTCTCCCTCACACAAGTGTTTAAGAAGAAGAAACCACAAAGAACAAGGAAGAAATGGCTCCTAGACTCTCAAGGAAGAAGAACACAACAATGGAACAGTGCCAAGGTGCACTCAGCCACCAAGTCACGTATAAAATTCTGATCCTAGGGTTTTGTGCCCATAATGGGAGTATTTATAGCCCAAACACACTTAAACACACAGTATTAACTTTAATTGCTACGCTTAGCATTTTAAACCCAAACTTTGGATTCTGAAACTACACATTTTTCCAAGAATTATCATATTTTTATTATATTTTTCTGAGCACCTTTCCGGTATGCGCTTTTCAAAGCCAGTACCGGTTTCTAGCACCAGTTCTCATTATTTGGACTTGAAACTCGTTTTACAAGTCCTACATATTATTCTAGTAATTATCATGCACTTAATTTAATTTTTTGGGATACTTTTTCGGCACACATTTATACCGACTAGCAGAACCGGTATCTGCACTTTTCTTCCGAAAAGCGACTTTCAACATTCTTAATCACTTATTATGATTATTAAGCCTCATAAATAATCATTAGGGTCAATTATGAAATCATTTCCTAATTTTGCATAATTAATTAATTAAATACCTTAATTAACGGTGCGGGTTGTTACAATATCGTTTTGGGATTGAAAGATTAAAATATAAAAATTATAAAGACTATAATAACGCTGAAATAAATTAAAATTACCAAAATACCATGATTTCCGTCTCAAAACGACGTCGTATTGGGCTTACTGCAGATAACTTATCTGCAGTAATTGCAGAAAAAGAGAACTCTTTTATTAAACTAATTAACTTAAAACCAACTTTAATTATCTAATTCTTTTCAAGTAAAAGTATTTTTATATCCGGCAATACTTAAATTACGTCATTTTAAAGGTTGAAAAAATCAATAAAGGATATTTTAAAAAATTTATTTATTTCTTTGTCATATGAATTTTATCAAAACATATTTCATTAATTCCTTCAACTCTCAAAATAATATAATTTTAAGTGACGAGTTTTGTTTACAAATTACATTATGTATTTCGGGAAGTACACTTGGGAGTGGATCCTCTCATATTGGAAAAGACATGACATGGTTATGTGGACAATCATAATAACCATATAAAGGTGGATCAATGGTGATAAAAGAGGAGAGAAAAAAATATTAAAATAGGTAATTACTAAATCATAACTGTTGATTTACCTTTATATGGTTATGATTGTCCTACATGACCATGTTATTTTTTTTAGACATAAGAAGATCTATTTCGATACACTCACTTACTTCTCGAAATACAAAACGTAGTTTGTAAAAATTTGTATAGAAAAAGTTTTTAAATATATCTTATCCCTAATTTTAAAATTACTGAAAGTCCGTGGCAGGTATACTTATGTGGGCTTTTTCACCCTTTTGCCCCTTATTAATTAATTAATAACTATTTTGCCCCTAATTCGAAACTATCTACCAATCTGCCCCTCTTTAATCGACTACCTTGCATTTTTAATCGACTAAACGGATGTTGGGAGATTTAATCGACTAAATCTCCCTACTTAATCGATTAAAGTCATACTGACTTTTTTGTTGTTGTCAAATATGAAGATTTAGTCGACTAAATAGGGAGATTTAGTCGACTAAATCTCCCAGCAGCCATTTTTTGTCTGTTTTGGCCATTTAGTCGATTAAAAATGCAAGGTAGTCGACTAAAGAGGGGCAGATTGATAAATAGTTTCGAATGAGGGGCAAAATGGTTATTAATTAATTAATAAGGGGCAAAAGGGTAAAAAAGTGGGTACATCTTTTTTCCAAATCAAAAAATTATTATTTTTATTTATATCCTTATTTTTCTTTATTTTTCTCATTAAATCCCAAAAATTTTCTCATTAAATAAAGATGTACCTAAATCTAATTTTACCCAAGATTTTCTCGAGATGCAGACTAATTGCAAAGTTTGTTTTCAGAAAAAAGTGTTAATTTAACGAGAAAATATATTCTTATTTTTTTTTGTAAATAAATATATTCTTATTTTGTAGGAGAGAATTTTTCTCTCTTACACATACATCGATTTTCGTGTTATTTTTTTATTTTCTTTTTCTTTTTTTATAATGGGTGGGACCTACACATGATTATCTCTATTGCACGAGAGAGTTCTCTCCTATTGAATGAGATTAATAAAGCCCTAATTTAATATATATATATATATAAAAATAAAAAAACTTATAAAAAAAGAACAACTTCGTGGGGCAAGGGACATACTAATTCAATCTTATAAAAATCTCTGAGATCCAAGTACAGCCAATCAAATATCAAATATATCTCCACGTGTCGTGCCACAATGAAATGACATCTTCATAATAGGACATCCTCCACACCATATTTTTCTGTCCGTAACTCACTCTCCTTCGCTCTTCACTCTTCACTCTACACCATGGCCCCATCTGCTGGAGCTGTAGCTTTACATTCTTCTCTTTGCAGCATCCCTCCTGATAAACCATCATCTCCTTCAAAACCAAACACCCTTGTGGCTGCTAAACCCAAAAGCCTCCTTCAAAACCACCCACTTTATGTACCAAACCATGCAAAACTCTCCCTCCAATTCAAAGAGAAAGTCCTCTGCCTTGAGATAATGGGTGTTGATGCAGGTAAAGCACTGTCCCAAAACCCTGACCTACGCACAGCTACCATGGAATCCATTCATTCCATTATCTACTTCCTTCTTTCCAAAGGCATCCAGGAGAAGGACTTGCCCAGGATCTTTGGCATGTGCCCCAAGATTCTCACCTCTGACATCAAAACTGATCTTAACCCAGTTTTTGATTTTCTCTTTCAAGATCTCAATGTCCCAGATTATAGCTTTAGGAAGGTTATCAATAAGTGCCCAAGATTTCTTACATCTAGTGTGAAAGACCAGCTTAAGCCAGCTTTGCTTTACCTTAAGAGACTTGGGTTCAAGGATTTGGCAACCTTGGCTTATCAAGATTCTGTTTTGTTGGTATCTAATGTTGAAAGGACCCTCGTCCCTAAGCTGAAATACTTGGTGAATTTGGGATTTTCCAAGGAAGAGGCTAGAAGTATGGTGTTGAGACATCCACCATTGTTTACTTTCAGTATAGAAAATAATTTTCAGCCAAAGTTTGAGTATTTTGCCGGGGAAATGGGGAGAAAATTGGAGGAGTTGAAAGAATTTCCTCAGTACTTCGCTTTTAGTTTGGAGAACAGGATAAAGCCTAGACACATGGAGGTTTTGCAAAGTGGGATCAATTTACCTTTGTCAATGATGCTTAAAAGCACTGATGAAGAATTTGGGGAGCTGATAAAGCAGGTGGGTGGATGACTATGATGGGAGCATTGTGTTATGTGTATTTATTTCATACTTCAAAAAAGTTAGGATATTTGACAATTTGTTAATATACTATGTATTTTCGAATTCCTGAGTATAGGCTTCTTAAGCGACATAACTGATATTGTTGTAAGTTGCTATTGTAAATCTTTGACTCCCCTTTAAGTGGTTGTCTATATTGATGATATGTAAACATAGGAGCAACATGTTTAAGTAATTTCGTATTTTTCAATGGACCTTGGAAATTTCATCATGTAGGTGGAAGAGGTTTCCTTTATTTTCTTCTTTCTATCGTAGGTGTAAGACTGGATATTTAAATGGAGGTTGCAGCTGGACCAAGGCCTTGTTCACAGCAGTAACTGATACCAGATACCTGAAATATTTCATATTTACAATTTGACCATATGTAGACACACCTAGATAATTTGTTAATATACTATGTATTTTCGAATTCCTGAGTATAGGCTTCTTAAGCGACATAACTGATATTGTTGTAAGTTGCTATTGTAAATCTTTGACTACCCTTTAAGTGGTTGTCTATATTGATGATATGTAAACATAGGAGCAACATGTTTAAGTAATTTCGTATTTTTCAATGGACCTTGGAAATTTCATCATGTAGGTGGAAGAGGTTTCCTTTATTTTCTTCTTTCTATCAGTAGGTGTAAGACTGGATATTTAAATGGAGGTTGCAGCTGGACCAAGGCCTTGTTCACAGCAGTAACTGATACCAGATACCTGAAATATTTCATATTTACAATTTGACCATATGTAGACACACCAAGAATTCTCTGCCCTTAGAAAGAAAAGCTAAGTAATCTGAGAGTGTGTTAAGGATAAGCTTATCTAGCAGAAAGTGACTTGAAAAAGGGTATTCTAATATATTATAGAATTGTAAATCACATGTACAAAAGGGTTCTCTATTTATAGAGAATACTTGACCGAAAATACTTGACCTAATGGGCTAAGCCCAATACAACAAATAACAAATAAATAAATAATAATAATATTTACAACACTCCCCCTCAAGCTGAGGAATAGATATTTATCATTCCCAGCTTGCTAGTAAGTTCTTGAAATCTGTCTGAAGGAAGCCTCTTTGTCAATAGATCAGCTAATTGACGCCCAGTGGGAATGTATGGAGTGGTAATCAACCCGCTATCAAGTTTCTCTTTGATGACATGGCGGTCGACCTCAATATGTTTAGTTCGATCATGTTGAACTGGATTATGAGCTATACAAATAGCGGACTTATTATCACATAGCAGCTTCATAGGTCCCTCACATTTTATTTTGAGATCATCAAGTACAATTTTCAGCCACAGTAACTCACAAATGCCTTGAGCCATAGCTCGAAATTCAGCTTCTGCACTTGATCTGGCAACAACATCTTGTTTCTTACTTCTCCATGTCACCAAGTTACTGCAAAGAAACATGCAATAACCAGTGGTAGAACGACGGTCAGTCACAGATCCAGCATAATCAGCATCTGTGTAGACTTCTAAAGATAGATTGCCATCACGTCGGAATAACAATCCTTTACCAGGAGTACCTTTAAGATACTGAAGAATTCTCTCTACTGCCTGCATGTGTTTTTCCTTTGGATCGTGCATAAACTGACTGACAACACTAACATCATAAGCTAGGTCTGGTCTAGTATGGGCCAGATATATCAATTTCCCAACTAGCCGTTGATATTGTCCTTTATCAACAGGAGGACTCTCTTCTTCATAGCCCATCTTGTGATTCTGCTCAATAGAAGTATTGGAGGGTTTAGACCCGAGCTTTCTTGCTTCTTTGAGAAGATCAAGAATATATTTCCTCTGGCTGATAAAAATTCCTTTGCTTGAATGAGCTACTTCTATCCCTAAGAAATATCTCAGTTTCCCAAGGTCTTTGACTTCAAACTCAGAGGCAAGCCGTGTTTGCAGAATCTGTCTCTCCACAAAATCATCACCTGTGATATTATTATCATCAACATATATAAGGAGCACAGTAAGCTTCCCATTTTGGGAGTGCTTGAAGAAAAGAGTGTGATCTCCTTGACTCTGTCTGTATCCTAAGGTCATCATAACCTTAGTAAACCTTCCAAACCAAGCACGAGGTGACTGCTTCAATCCATACAAGGCATTTTTTAATCTACAAACTTTATTTTCCCCCTTCACAGAATCAAAACCAGGCGGGATTTCCATGTAGACTTCTTCTTCTAACTCACCATTGAGGAAAGCATTTTTCACATCAAATTGATTTATATCCCAATTGTAATGGGCAGCAAGGGATAACAAGATTCTCACCGTATTCATCTTTGCAACTGGAGCAAAGGTTTCTTCATAATCAATGCCATAGGTTTGAGTGTAACCTTTGGCGACTAATCGAGCCTTGTATCTCTCAAGAGTGCCATTAGAATTATATTTCAGGGCATAAACCCATCTGCATCCTATTGCTTTCTTTCCGTTGGGTCTATCAATAACTTCCCATGTTTTATTTTTCACCAACGCATTCATCTCCTCTTGCATGGCTTGAGCCCAATTCCCATCTTTCAAAGCTTCATGTACTGATTTTGGGATTGAAGTAGAATCTAGTGCTGAAACAAAGCTTTTGTGCTGCACAGAAAGATTAGTAGAGGACACAAAATGGGATATAGGGTATTGAGTACAAGAGGGACAGGAAGAACAAGATCTCTTGGAAGAAGTTCTTTTTCCTTTTCTTAGGGCAATAGGTAAGTCATCAGAAGCAGAAGCAATAGGTAAGTTATTAGAGATATCAAAAGAAATAGACAAATCATGAGAGGCAATAATATTATAAGCAGAAATAGGAGATTCAGAAGAAACAAGAGACTCAGAAGAAACAGGAGATTCAGGACTTACCAGTGGTTCAGACGATTGAGGTTGCTGGTGAGACAGTATGAGTTGTTTCCTCCTCTGATATACCAATTCAGGTGTCAAAATTTTTCGTATCTCAGGTGTATTTGAAGGTTCTAACACACCAAGAGCAGACACACTAGGAAGAGAGAAGACTGATCCAGACTCAAAGAAGGAAGGGGACGAGTCTTCTGAAGAATTGTTCTCCCCCTGACGATGAAGACCCATGAAATAAGATTCAGATTCTTGAAAGGTGACATCCATAGAAACAAATTTTTTTTGACTTGGTGGATGATAACACTTGTACCCTTTTTTATAAGGGGTATAACCAAGGAAGACACACTTAAGAGCCCTAAGATCCAACTTACTCCGATGTTGTTTATGAACATGGACAAAGGCAACACATCCAAACACTCTTGGTGGAAGGCTCTGCAATATGGGAACAGAAGGGAAGAAGGAAGTCATGGAATGAATAGGACTGATATTGTTAAGGACCCGTGAAGGTAAACGATTGATCAAAAAAGTTGCAGCTAACACTGCTTCTCCCCAATAAGAACTAAGAACAGATGTCTGGAAAAGTAGTGCTCTAGCAACTTCAAGGAGGTGACGATTTTCCCTTTCAACAACCCCGTTTTGTTGAGAGGTATCAACACATGTGAGCTCATGAATCATACCTCTGTATGAAGTGAATTGTGACAGGCGTTGGTTGACGTACTCAGTACCATTATCAGATCTTAGTCTTTTAATACCCTTACCAAACTGAGTCTGAACCATGTGATGAAACCGAATAAATATCTCTAGTACTTCAGACTTGTCTTTCATCAAGTATATCCATGTTACCCGAGTACAATCGTCAATAAAAGAAACAAATCACCTTGCACCTGAAACACTGTGCACTTTAGAAGGGCCCTAAACATCAGAATGGATAAGAGAAAAAGGTTCCCTGCTTTTAATAGTGCTAGAAGGAAATGACACTCGATGGTGTTTTGCAAATTCACAAACATCACAATGAAAGGTCTCAACCGACTTATTAAGAAACAGAGAAGGGAACATAGACTTCAAAAGACTAAATGGTGGATGCCCCAGACGCTTGTGATGGAGCCAAATCATAGACTCTGCAGTAGAAGGATGACGTGTCATTAATAACTGATTTTTGCTAGCATGGTCTGGAAGGAGATGATACAACCCATCCTGTTCATTAGCAACTCCAATTGTCTTCTTCGTGGTAAGATCCTGAATAACACAATGAGAAGGAAAAAATGTGATAGAACAATTCAAATCGGTTGTAAGTTTTTGAGTGGAGATAAGATTAGTAGAAAGCTGAGGAACATAAAGAACATTTTTAAGAAACAAGGAAGGTTGAATTTGAATGTTACCAGAACCAATAACTGATTTATGGGATCCATCAGCTACGGATATAGTATGACTACCAACAGTAGGATGATAAGAACAAAACAACTCAGTACGACAAGCCATATGATCAGTTGCACCAGAATCCAAAATCCATGAGGTTTTAAAATCAGTGCAAGAAGCAAGAAGAGATATAGAACGTGTGCTCTTACCAGATAAGATCAAAGAACTGTCATTCTCGGCCATTCTTCAATAAAAAAGTTAACAACCAGCGATAAAATCAACCAAACAGATTATCATATAAAGTCCGATCAGTGAAACAATCACAGATCCAGACAGAGAACAAGGAGACGAGAAGAATGGCGGTGGTCCAAGGCCAAAATAAGGTGTCACGCGCCTCCACGCGCCGGTGGAGGTGGCTGCGCGTGGGCTTCACGCGCTGGAGCTTGGGCGGCGCGTGAGAGCGCGTGGGCTGTCCTCTCCGGCTAAAATTTTTGCACAAGGTCAACCGGCGAGCGCGCACCTGTCTGTGGGAGGTCGCGGTTGAAAAATCACCGGAAGGTGGTCCAGACGCGATGACAGATCTGTTTGGAGGTGTTTGGGCTGTGTAATCGGTGTTCGCGGCTGTAATCGAAGAAAAATAACAGTGAACAGTAGTCCTCTTGGTCCAAAAGGTCCCCGGAAAAAAAAATTCCGGTGGCGGATGATGGCAGCATGAGGCAAAGGGATCAGGGTTTTTTTTACTCTAAAGGCAAATAAGCGCGGAAGCAGAACCCTCAGATCGAGAGCTCTGATACCAACTTGAAAAAGGGTATTCTAATATATTATAGAATTGTAAATCATATGTACAAAAGGGTTCTCTATTTATAGAGAATACAAGACCTAGAATATTTGACCTAATGGGCTAAGCCCAATACAACAAATAACAAATAAATAAATAATAATAATATTTACAACAAAGTGTTCAAAGCTGCAGTTGATCTTTAAATGAATAGGGTTCCATAAGAATAACAAAAGTCTAATTTCTTGGTTCCTTGTCATCATATACAAGACAAATACACAGAAACCAATCAAATAATATCCTTTTAACTACTTTCAAAGTAATGCCTACAAAGGCATCAAACAACTTATGATACATACACAGATAAAACAGTAGATCCATCAGTCAACTATTTGTACAAAGGAGATGCTGTTTTTCAAATTTCATGTACTTAATGTGTATTTGCTGCATGGAAACGAACACTTCCATCATTCCAAATGTCTAGCTTGGTGTTTGTCCACGAGCTTTAAACCAAAACTGAGTTATCAGGAATTAGAGTCATCTTCTGTTTAGAAGGAAACGTCTTCAGAAATAAATGCAGTCCATGCATCCTATTACAACGTAGAAGATGTGAACTCAATTTCTGCATTGATCCTTTGTGTATAATTTGTTGACCCTGAGAAACTTAATGGTAGAATTTATCCATATGTGGTATATTTTTTACATACCTGAAGAATGGTGAAAGCCTTCTCTGCTATGTACTTCTGTAAGAATGTTGCTCCTCTTTGCTGCAGTTTGTCTGGGTGGAGGCATAACCTTGCTTTCTGATAGGCCTTCTTCACTTGTGTGCTTTCTATTAGGCTCATTACAGGAACAGCATGCCAACCACTCTCAGGCCACAGGATCTGTTAATGGAAACATACAAAATCATGTCAATTCTCCTGTCATCTGCATGCATCAAAGGGGTATAAAGCTACATAAGATTCAATAAATTGTCAATAATATGAGATCAACAACGAAGGAAACGTCACATGATGTAATGTAGAAAGCAGTAGCCGTATGTCCATATCCTTGCCAGATGACCACAATCTTATATCTCTGTCCAACTTCTCTGTTTCTGTCTGTACCTTGTGTAGAAACAGCAGAAGAATCAAATATAAATCCTGATTATCAGGTAAAAGAATTGGAAACAAAGGAACCTAATATGAACCATGGACTTTACAAAGTGGGATGTTTCACCAGCTTGAGAAAATATAACGTGATTTTTGGGCAGAAAGTAGATCACCCTCCAATGCCCCCATTAAACTTTTACTCATTTCTAATCACACTCAATTTGTTCTTTTCATTCTATTCAGTTTATTATGGATGGACTCTTTTAGTCACAACCTATCCATACATCATCCATGGTTTAATTTTTACCATTTATTTTCTTGAACAAGTTTTTTTATAACCTTGTGAAATGATCTTGTCGAAGTGGAAAGTCGTTTCATCAAACTTGGCACGTATTTTTTGACGACTTCTAACTTGTAAGTACTACTAAAAATAGCAAATAAAGGCCTTATAGACAAATCTAAAAATGGAGGCAGTGTCATTATAAGCTTTGTATCGGTAATATGAAGCACATGCTTATTTAGTTATTCATGCAGTTATGCTTACCCAATAAAATATATTACCTTTGGAGATTGAACTATTCCAATGCCATCATCATGGTATTCAACTGCATCACGCCTTCCTGCATTACATGATCAGAGACAAATATGAAGTTCTGCCTTTGTCCGTTTCAGGACCTATTGTACATTAAATTCGTGAGACTTTTATTTATTTATTTCTGTGCATAAGAAAATCACCTTCCATCTTAGTGGTTTGCTCACTGCTTGATTCTTCATCAGAATTTCGTGACTGAAACTTCTCTTTGGCCCATGCAATTGCTTCATCAATGGCTGCTGATCCACAATTTCCCTCTCTGAGGTCGGAATTGATCTCTATGACATAGGAGCTCATAACTTCATCGTCATCCATTTCTATAACTAGTTCTGGATGCACATGATCATGAACTGAAGATTTTGCATCATGTTCTTGACAAAGTCCAGAGACAGCAGAAAATGGGGAGTTGAGTTCCCAGTCATCAACAGATACTTTGATGCTTTGATATGAATTGGATTCAAGACTAATTGTTTCTGGGGATGAGACTCTTCTTGAGAATCCTAAATGAGAACTTTTGAAGTTCTCCCTGTACTCATCATCCTCACAATGAATATCAAATGAATGACCATTGCATGGAAAAAGTGACCTCCCTTGTTTAATTGGGTGTTCCTCGGGCATCATAGTGGATGAGTTCCATCTACATGGGACATTGATTGGCCTGTAACAATAACTAAGAAGCCTCAGAATTCCCATAACTAGGTAAGAAAAATATGCTTTTCGAACAATTTATTTTGTCACGTAACTAATTGCATAAAAGTCTACTAACACATTCAATATTACAAATATCATATTCAATATTATTCATATCAAAGTTCAGCTCCCAAATTATGATTTATATTTCCCTTAATTAGATATCTAGATTTCAAATATGGAAATGGAAAAAATATTATCAAAAGAACATCCCTCTACTATACCATCCGATATTATTCCAACCGAATTAGTTTGATTTCTATCAAAATGATCAAAAATAAAATAAAATAAAATAATCTCCTACGTATACTTATAAAACCAAAACCAATCATTATTATTTATTGCCTATAATCTCCAAACTTAGGAAGCTCTACTCTAGCTACTTTCTTCTAAATCTGAATGTTACTAGTTACTACCATCTAAGCCTAGAGATCCATGCAGATATTCAGCCTTAAGATAAGAAGATAACTAAGACTTAAAAACCAGTTATCTTCCTAACAATCTATGTATTCCATATCCATAGCTATAGGATGAGCACATCTGCAAATATAGCTAATCACAGAGGGCATACATGTCAATTCACAACATAACAGACTGATGCACAAGCAGTTAGTTAGTTGGGATTTCTGTTTCAGTACCTCAGCTTTGAAACAAAGGCAGACAATACCACGTCGTCACCGTTCGCCGGCCGGAGAGGGCTCAGATCCTCGGAACTCAGCGCTGACGATGAATTGGACTTCGATTTCCCCTGCGATTGCCTACCGGACCGCTCTCTTGACCTCCGGTCATCGTCGGACCCGAATATGTCGCTGTAAAACCCCTGGTTCTTCGCCGGGATCCGAAACACAGGCAGGCTACGGCCACCCTTGGCCGGCGCCGGAGATGTGAACTCCGGCGGCCGGAAAATTTCCTCGTAGAACGAACTGGACCTGGAGAACTTGTGCACGAGGAGGCTCCTGGGTGGACCACCGAAGACGTCGGCGAAGTCGTGAGGGTCCAAGGTTTCGGACTCCGAGGCGCCGGAGCCGGCGAAGACAGACCGTCTTGAGCGAGAAGATAACCGGTCCTCCATGGATCGCCGGCGAGGGAGCCCCGACGTTAATCCTATTCGCATTCTCCACGACTCGTCCATTTCCCGGCGAGGTTATCCGGTTAGCTTCTTCTCTCCACTGACCGGAATATTCACTGGAAAATACAAAGCGTAGCTTGTGCTTATATATAGAGTTGAAGAACATAAAGCATAAAATAAAAATAAAAAAAATAAAAGAAAAAGAGATTTGTGAAGAAAGCCATTGATTGACTTCTACTCTTTTATTAATATAAATATTTTAAGTAAATATATAAAAAATTGTCAATATATATACTTCTTAGTTGTTAGTCTCGTTACCTCACAATTATCTATAAATAATTTTATGGTCTACTTAAATACTTTGAGCTTAAATTTAGATGAAAACATTAGTGCACAAATGTGAGTTAAATAGTTAAGGGGAAAAAAAAGCATGGTTGCTTAATTTCTGCATTTTGTCATGATTGTTGTTAGTTTGTTGAATGATCAATTTTTGCTTTCTATGAATGATTATTGATAAGTGATGGGAAATGCATAGTGGGTAATGTCGAATGGGTAGACTTGCTTTGATTACCTGGAAAGATGCATAGGCTGGAATTGAAGTCCCCACAGACATCATCATGGATTGGATGCTATGTTTTATTTTCCCTCCTTTATATTATGCTTTTGATTTTCTTTTTGGGTGGGGGCAAGTGGTTCTGTGATGTGTTAGTTTTCTTGAATATATTATTAATATAATCTAATAATATGTTTATATACAAGTTCAATAAAAAAAACATGGTCATTTGAATTTATATGGATTAGAGTCTAATAACTTGTATTATTTTTAGAATTTTTTTTAACCAAGAAGTAACATTGTTTAGCATTTTAAATTTAATGTCTCTTAGTATAATATTTCAGACACATTTATGCTCTTCTCTCTCGAACCCATGACCTCCAACAACTTTTACCCTTTTGGTGTCCTCATGCTATCTGAGTTTGTAGAACCATGATTCTGGAGTGTATGATCTTAAGTTTGAGAAAAATAATAAGAGGATAAAATTCATTTAATGAAAGTAACCAGATGAAAATGTCAGAACTGTGAATTTATGGGTATGGCTGAACCTGAAGATAAAGTTGCCAACTGGGCCGGTGAGGGAAAGGATGATTGATACCTCAGAAGGGGACAATTCGTGTCTTAAATTGATTTGTGATCAGAATCCTTATGGCTTACCCTATACTTTAAATTTCAATTTAGAGATCATAAATTCATAATCAATACACTTCAGGTGAGACTATCATCAACTAACAGAGAGGCCTAATGATTCTCAACTTTTCCATTTTTATAATTTCCTTTTTTTTTTTTTCTTGGGTCTTTGTAACTTTTATTTTTTGGATTTGCTTGGCTGTTTAAAGTTTAAAGTTTTAAAGTTTAAACGCATAGAATTGTGCAGAATAGATAGAGAGATTGGCATGTGGTGCTAAGAAAAAGCAAGGATCCCCATTCTTTATTGTTTGGCATTGATAAAATAATGTACTTAGCAGTATAAAACAATTTTGTTTTTAATATGAAAGGAATTATTCGTATTATTGGACCACAAAACTTGATTTGCCTAAGATACAATGTGGTAGACCAAAAACATAATTCAGACATCAACTTGAGTACCTATAATGCTTGGTGTGGAGGTAAAGGGAACATAACCCTTTAAAAACTGATTATTTTAAATAGTCAAAGATCAATACAATTTAGTCCCCTGTGACTGGCCCATTAGATGTTCCTGTTCGTTCACTCACAGAATGCTCTTGTCAATCTGACCTGTAGTGCATGCTATTAGGTATTAATAATAGATTATATTTATCTCATTCAATATGTGACAACTCATCTTCCTACACACATAACAAATGTGGGTCTTATTTTTATTTTTTCTCTCTAATTATTTGTGAGTCCCTTTTATTATTTTAAGATAAGATAACTTATCTATATCAACGTACGAAAAAGATTTCCCTTAATAATATCATGGGTATTTTGCACGTCAATTTATTATATATCACTTTACTCGACTTTTCAATACTTACATAAGAATGAGTACAAACTAAGACCACTTTACGTCAATTTTAAATCACTTTACACCGCGTTACCTCCCTGATTCATTTAAGATTTTTAGCATGTAGGTGCTTCTCTATTTTTTTGTAATTATCCTACTTGTGTTTTCAGAATCTGTTTAGGTTTTGCCATCAAATTGACTCACATGAGATTTACAAGCCTGCAGAAAATTGTCCTAAACTATATTTGCTGTTTTAAGAGTCATAAATAGCTACTTAGCTCGAATCTTAAGGCGTGTTTGTTTCAAGAGTTTTTTCTGGTTTCCTAGCTAAGTGCAGAAGGCAATATCAATTCTCCATGTTTGGTTAACAGATGTGATGAATTTTACCCATCTAACTCACTTGCCTATCAATCACCATTGCACGTAAAAACACACAAAAACACTGTTGCAGAAAGCATCTCAGGAGGTGGTTTTTGTATGAGAGAACCGGCTAAGTTAGGGCGTGCAAGTCGTTTAGGGCGTGCAAGTAAATCGTTTAGGTGTCATTCCCATCCTATGAAGCACCGACACTTCAAAAATCCTGACGTGTCGTGTCCGACACTTCCTGACACTCTCGGACACTCCGACACTCCCCGACACTCCAACACACGTTATAGAAATTCAAAAAAAGATCCAAAGGTTAATTTGCGTTGAGTTTTTAGTTTCAATTATTAGATTCGTTGGATTACGATTATCATTTTATTGAGTTTAATATAAATATTTGGGATACGTTATGTTTCTTTGCAAAATTTATGAATATTATAAGTTTAGATTCATTTTTTTGTTAAATTATTGAATATTAAATATAATATACACTACATAAATAAAAATTATTATTTAGTATCAAAACGTGTACTAACGTGTCGAAATCTAACATTTTTTAAAATTAACGTGTCAGAGTGTCGTGTCGTATCGTGTCACGTGTCCCGCGTCGGTATCTGTGCTACATAGTTCCCATCAATATTTTATCTTCAACCAAACACATATTCAGGAATTTCATTCAATTTTTCTGGTAAAATTTTGCCCAACCAAAACAACTTTTTTAATATTTTCCTATCTAACTCATTTTTTCTGCAGATCCCTAGTATTTACATTTCCCTACTAAAAAAAAATTCCACCTCAACCAAACACTCCCTTAAGGCCAGTTTGGTAGCAGGATTTTTTTTGTTTTCCCGGAATTCCTTGGTTGAGTAAATAAGAATGCATCGTTTGGCGCAAGATTTTTAAAATTTTCCCGAAAATCTGATTTTCCCAGGATTTTCTTTTGTGTGTAAATTTTTTTGAAAAAATCATCCAGGAATATCATCTAGAAGGTGATATTTTAAGATTTCTATGACAAAGAAAAATTTAATACAACTAAACACAGCATCAACAAAATTAACCCAATATTCCTGAAAATATGTTAGTCTACCAAATAACTTTTTGATAACATTCCTAAAAAAACTCATTTTCTCATCATTTTCTTGAAAAGTGTGATTCCTGGATAAAAAAAAAAAAAATTCCTTGTACTAAACGCTCGAATACTTAAGGGAATTAATCTTACATATACCATGTAGATGTAGAGACTGTACCCTTAAAATTGCTCAGAAAGAAACTTACTCTCCATGCATTCGGGCCAAAATTAACTTGAGAATATTCTTACCATTAAATAAAGGGATTACGAAATGTTATGGAACAGGAATGGATTCCATTTTCTTGCGGAGACAATATCCGTGGGTCCCATTGCTTTTAAGAAAAATCAAAAAACAAAATATTTGAGACACGATTTTCAATCTCTCTATGGTATGATGTAATGAGTTTCATGTAACGTAACAATTACAAATTCCTTAAATAAAATGACTGCTTGGGCTAATCAATGGCGGATCTATTTGGGTGTCATTGTCTGCACTTGCAGACATATAAAAATTGGGGAATTTTTTTTTTTCACATAGAATATGTAATTCAGGTCAAGTAAAAAAAATAAAAATAAAAAGATTAAAAGGGAAAAAGTAAAGAGTGGAAGGGAATCACACAGGATTTTTCACGATCTTTTGTGAAACAAAAGTGGTCAACTTTGGATCAAATAAATATGTGGGTTTTGATCTATTAATCCCTACAATTATACTATATTTTACAAATGTCTTTTTGTGGTGTTATTTATTTTTTAATTATCATTATCGATTATTTCTTTAAGACTTTGATTGATTCACCAAAACTTTACTTTTGAAGTAAAAGCAAAAATTAGATCATGATCTTTTTAAAAAAAAAACGAGGGCGGCACCCCAAACCCCCACCCTAAGTCTACAAACATAAAAATATTTTTTTTGAGTACGCACATTTGGGCTAATTGAATAACTCAATGCCAAGACTAATATTTCACCAAAAACAGTAATGCTCTATTAATGTCAGTTGACTGATGTTAAGTTTTCAAAATAAAAAGATAATTATCAATGAATATATATATATATCAACAAGCTCTTGTAATTCACCTGAATGCGTGTCAGTTTATTTAGAAGTTAACTGTGGCTTTGAAAGAAAAAGGCCAGGAAATGATTTTAAAAAGTTTAAATTATAATAAATTAGACTCTTTTTGTTGGTATATATAAACATAATAATATTTCTCTAGTTATTGCAGATAAGTTATTTGTATTTACTCTCAAAACGATGTCATTTTGGGATTAAAAAATTAAATAATTATAATTATAAAGACTATAATAACCCTGAAATACATTAAAATTATAAAAATACCATGATTTCCGTCCCAAAACGACATCCTATTAGGCTTACTACAGATAATTTATCTACTGCAGAAAAAGCGAGTTCAAATATAATGGCCCTAACCTAATTAATTAGCAAATTATATGTAATTAAATAATTAAGCATGTTTTAGTGAATAAAATTAAGATAAGGCTTAATTAAATGAATTTGAGTCACTTTGGAGTTAAAAAGTGTACTCAGTGAAAATTAAGGGGTATAAATGGGTGTAGGCAAAAGTACCCAAAATATAAAAATAAAATTAGAAATATTCCTAAAATAATATTCCAGACTTTTGGGTA